CAGCTATGGCAGTGCAGGACAGCTGTTTCCTGTGTCCCTCGTGGAAGCAGTGATCCAGTGGATCCTTCTGGGTGCTCAGGAGCTCACCCAGCACCTGCTGCTCATTACCACAGTCCTGTCTCCAGCCCATGGACTGCTGCTCTGTGGCTCTGTGTTTGAAATCCACCTGAGATCTCTCAGGAGATGCTGTGCCCTTCGACTCTCCTCTCAGTGTTGTTGTTGGATCAAGTTGCTCTCTCTTGTCCTGCCCAAATGCAGCTCTCACCGCCCATGATCTCAGGCATCTCACAAACTGCTGTGGCTGTGGCCAAGGCTGGAAGGGCTCTGCTGAATCTCACTGCAGACCCTGACTCAGAGGAAGCACACTCTATGCTGAAGAAGCCTTCTGCCAGCACAGGCTGGACAGGACCCTTCTCTTTTAAGGTTCTGTTGCCTTTTTCCCAACCTGAAATGAAACTCGAGATAATTTATCGTAAAAGAGGATCCTTATTTGAAGGCCTTCAGGAGCAGTTTTGGAAAGATGTTCACAAAAGCCTACCCCACAGGGATGAGTACATATTTAGAGGTTTTAGGAAATTTGCAGAATTGACAAAAAGCACCAATGAGGAGGACAAGTGGTGATTCAATTTCCCCCCAGGTCAAGCTCCTTCTCTGTAGTCCCCCCACAGCACTGGTTGAGCTTGGTCCATGAGATGGATCTGGAAGAGTTGTTCTGGCCTTGGTTCCCAGGAAGGACAAAAACAGGAGAGGGGCCTTGTACCCCCAGGGCTTGGAGCTCTGGAATTTGTTTTGTCTTTCTGCCTAGGGAAAGGCCATGGAAAATTACTGGGAAAACTAGCCACTAGTACAATAGGTTACAGAGCTACAAATATACTTGCAAAAATACAGAGAACATATAAAAGGAACAAAAGGCAAAACCCAAACTGGCATCAGTTCCAGGACCAACACAGTGGTGGAGTGGCTAAATATTGTTAGTGTAAAGTTTTTTTTTTCATGTTTAATATCTTGTCACAGACAGGAGATTTATGCATTAGCATTAGGATGGGGATATATGCATTAAATTTTTCTTGTGCACCATGTGCAAATATGCTTGACTTAGAACAAGTCCTTTAGTATGTCTGTTTAAGAATAATGGTATGATTATTGCAGAAGGCAAGTTTTATATCATGGAATCATAGAGTTGTAAAATGGTTTGGGGTGGAAGGGAACCTTGAAGATCTTCCAGTTCCAGCTCCGCTGCCCTGGGCTGGGGACACCTTTCACTAGTTCAGGCTGTTTAAAGCCATTCTAGCCTCAAATACTTCCAGGGATGAAGCATCCACAGATTCTCTGAGCAACTTGTGCCAGTGCCTCACAGGGAAGAATTTCCTCCTTGCATCTGATCCAAGTCCATCCTCTTTTGGTTTGAAGCCATTCCTCCTTGTCTTTTTGTCCCAGGCCCTTGTCCCAAGTCCCTCTTCTTGGAGCTGTTTTAGGCACTGGAAGGGGCTCTAAGGTCTCCCTGGAGTCTTCTCTTCTCCAGGTGAGCACCGCCACCTCTCCCATCCTGGCTACAGAGGGGTTTTAGCCCTTGGAGCACCTCTGTGGCCTCCTCTGGAGCAGCTCCACGTCCTTCCTGTGCTGGGGACCCTAGAGCTCTGAGGTGGGGTCTCACCTGAGTGGGGCACAGGGGCAGAATCACCTTCCTTGGCATGCTGCCAACACTGATGCCCAGCCCAGGACAGGGTTGGCTTTCTGGGTTGCCAGTGCAGGTCATGTTGAGCTTCTCAGCCCCCAAGACCCCCAAATCCTTCTCCTGCTCTCAACCCACTCTCTGCCCAGCCTGTATTTGTGCACCAATGCATGTGCAGGGCGCATATACAATTATACAGGGAGAATTATTACAGTAATATTGTGTTCCTCTATGGGCTATGACCATCACTCACTGACCAACACTCACTGACCATCACTTCCCACTTATTATCCCAAGTTCCCCCACTAAAAGCACTCTTCATACACACCAAGAAAAGAACTAAATGAAGTTATTGTCTCTTTAATGACCACAGGAATATCTACTGTATTTAATATATTGCTTTGGGAAATTTGTTCTGCCCACCCCAAATGGCTGTCTGTCTTAAATATATCTGCTCAGAGTGATGTGTGTTACAAAAATAAACTACACAGGCAGCATGTTTGTCAATCAGCAGAAAAGGCCCTACACCCACTATCCCAGGCACATGTACTTCATAAGCATTGGTTTCCAACAGATAAATGTAATCAAGGTTTATATGCTCACAGAAGCCAACAGGATGGGATTTTTTCACTTGGAAGATCAGAAGAAAATTGTAACTAATGTTGTGGAAAATTACTTTGATATTGCTTTCTCAGTACAGCATCACAATTAGGTAGCAATGTGAAGCACAGGGAAAGAATAAATGAATAGTAACAAATCAACACAAACAGCTACTGTCAGGAGTACTTTGCTCAGTGAAAGTAATGTAAGCATTACTTAAAGTTTTATGACTGTGGATTTTATACTGGTTTAAGTAGTACATCAAGGTCTCACTGTCATGCTTGCTAGGACTTAAACAATCAAGAACAATTTCTGAAACAGACAGATAAAACTGAAGTACCAAAGTATTTTTATTAATCTTGTTTCATAAGTTGTTCTATTCTAAATTAAAGATGACTGAACATGCTAACAATGAAAAACGTCCTTTTGGACAATGCAAAGATTCCTGTGCTTCTTTTTGGTGGAAAATGAGTGTTCCCAACTTCTCTCCAGCCCTGCTGATTCCAGCATCTGGCAAATGTGTTTTACTACACAGGAAATACAAAAGCAAAGGCTAATCCAGTAAAGCTTTTCCATGCAGAATCTGTTGTCCTAAGTAGCTTAATGATACGTGCATTTGTTCAGTTCTCTCGAGAGAGCAATCAGGCAAGCAAATTATAGCAATATCCCATCTCCATTAGAGCCAGGCCCCTTTATGGAGAAACACTCTGAGCACAGACAGGGAAGGATCCTTCTCAGCACACCAAAAACATCGCCTGTGATTGACAGATTTTCACAGGAGACTGTCTAGGAAGGAAATATGCCAACCTGTATTTTTAAATGAAATGAATGGATATTTTTACTTGTGTTCTTTAAGTCACCTAATATGCTTTAGTGATAACTGGTCTAATTTTCAAAAGCAGTGGATATGAGGAGTATCTCAGTCCACTGGGAGTTGAAAGTACTTAACACATGAAAATCAGCCAAACAGAAATAAAAGTAATTGTATTGAGCACCATTTACTCAAGGGTACGGTCTAGTTCCTATTAACATAAATAGTAATTGAATGTGAGAATTGAGGAATTGATTACACACCTTTGGCAGTAACAGCATTGTTGGCATGTTTGTGTTTTAGGTATCCACAGCAATCGAGCACATCACACAGTGAGTTTCCCTGCCAGGGGTAGGAGAGCTCTGTTCAAACTTGCTTTTATTTAAATATACTTAGGTGTCCCCTTCTCCAGTTACACTGCTCTCAAAAATCACTTCCCAGCGTACTACAATCAGCAGTCAGCATTCAAGAGGTTTATGGCAGAGAAGAGGTCAAGATGAGGGACCCACAGCGAAAAAAATAGAAAAGAAATTGCACTGGTTTCGAGATCACACTAGGAAATCTTGTTTTCAGGAGCAAAGAATTAACTTTTCAGTGCAAAGTTACACGTTCTTAGATGCACGAGAGTACTGCCTGCATTTGTTGTCCATACATCTTTCCCCCTTGCCTAAACTACTGGCCAGTTTCAGTCAAATATGGCCAGCACCTCTGTTTTTAATCTATAAACTCTTTTGCATCTAAGCATAAAAAAACAAATTGCAAAAGCACTGAAGGAACTAGTTAATTCCCTGCTTTGCACTACACTGAAGATTCATTACTTCTGTAGTTTCAGCTGAGTGGCTGCTTTCGAAATTGGTGTGTGTGCAGTTGGACTAAATAAACAACATATTAAAGTACAAATTGTTTAGTGACATGGAAACAAGCACTTAACAAACCTAGACGCAGAAATTAGCAATTAATGTAATTATTTAAGAGTTCCCTGTGTTACAGTTCAGCTTATTTAAAAATGTTAGCAATGATTTTAAATAGACACAGTTGTGTTCACTGTACAATGAAGATGTCAAATGAACAAAGGTTTTATGAAGCATTTGTTTAGTCAAGAGACAATTTCAGTGCATATAAGAGCAAACACAGGGGCCAAACCCCAGAACACAGTGGCATTATCCTGGATGAGAGTAACTGCACTGGCATTTGTCTAGGCTCTAAAGCAGCCTTCATTACAGCCACAGTCAAAGAGAAAAGGACTGCAAGTAAATCAAGAGATCTTGGATCCTTTAATACTTTTGTGTCTCCCTTTTAAAGGAAACTACTATTTCAGCCCACAATTTTCTAGTTCTCCCATCTCTGTGGCTTTTGTGGCTCTCCACAATTTCAAGTTAGTAGTGCAGGAAGATGACATGCATATGAATAACAGTTATGAAAGGTTTAATTGAAATGAAGCAAATTTAGTGAATGCATCCTAAAGTATTTAAAGTTTCTGATATGACTCATTCATACATCTCTTATTTTGCATCTCATGACACACTAATTACCATATGCAAGTGAAGGTGAATCCAGAGGTCTTCATTTCCAGGAACAGAACTTTTGATGAAATCTCTCATTTTCACATTTACAGTGATATAGTTGGTAATAAAAGTTTTCTTTAGCAAAAACTTAACTCCACTCAGCTGGACCCTATGCATGTTGTCAAAGGTCCCTGTATAATCAATTAATTGGTCCTTGAAACTGTTTTTTTTCAGCAAATGCTTTTTTAAAAAAAAGTAAAAATTGATAATTACTTTCAAGGTAGCCTTCATTAAGAATGACACACCTTTTTTGAGGTATCCTCTGTGAAATAAGTAAAATACATTGAGAATATAAGTACAAAATATTGAGGATGAAAGGGCAGGTGATTCAAATAGAAACAGGAATGCTAACCTGGTGTCTGCTGATGAACTATTTCTTCTGGATCCTGCAGGTGAATGAAGACCACGAGCCCAACTGCTCCAAACAGCAAGATGAAGGAGAACATACATGTCAGCCTCATAATTACTGTTCTCAGATCAATCCAGTTGTGGCCCAGGAAAAGAACTGCATGTGATCTCCAGGGCACTCTTCACTCATAGTCTTTGTCCTCTCATCTGGAAGTCTGGTGTAATATGTCTACAAGAAGTAAAAAACCAAACCAAACCAAACTTAGCATAGAGTGCATTTATTCTCCCAATGCAGATTAGATTTAGATTAGAACTTAAATAGGGAAAGAGTGTAAGAGTGCATTTATTCTCCCAATGCAGATCAGTAGATTTAAGTTCTCATTTAGACAAAATTACTGATTTCTCTAGTACTTCTTTTGTACAGTTAATTGCAATCATCCAGTCTATTTCTGTCCCATCAGTTGTCTTTAATTTTATGTCCTTTTTTTAACATGTAGTAAAGATGATGTAGTACATAGTTAAAAATTGCATTTTGGGAAAAACGGTCACACCATGACTGCAGTTTTCAGAGAAATCCCTCTCAATAGTTGCTTAGAATCTGTCACTTTTTATTTTTATTTCTTACTGATTAAACAACATGAAAACCATAAAGGGAGATAATGTGTGGGGAACAATCATGAAAGCTGCACCTTCGTGCCAAACGCAGAACTGGCAGCTGCTGCTTCACCTCTGAGAAGAAACAGCCACGCTCAAACCAACCACCACAGGTCACCCACTGAGGAAGCTCTGCAGGCAAACTGATTTCCAAGGCAAATCCTGGTCACTTGGAGCCCCTTTTACTGGCTGGCAGTGAACATGAAGGAAGAGAGGGCAGCAAGCAGGAGTCTGTGCAGGAGCCACAGGAACGGCTCCTCTCCTCGCCTGGCAGCTCCCCGGAGGTTCTGGCTCTGTTCTGCAAACCCTGCTGCTGGCTCTGACATTTGCTGCTAGTGCAGCCCCAGAGCAGCCCTGGTCCCACATGGGCTGGTATGTGTTTTCCTAAAGCCCTCGCTGAGCACAGCCCTGAAGCTTTAAGCCCATGGAAAGTCCTGCTGGAACCAGGCCTGTCCTCACATGGTACTAGGAAGTGAAAAAGTGAAGGAATGGGAACCAGGGAGGAAAACTACTACCAGGGCCACATGTCTTTATTAATTAAAGTGAAAGCTTCTGCCACAGAGCTGTGACAACCCTGCATTTTTCAGTAACACAAGTATTCAGTAACACTCTGCATTAAAGCACAGGCAGTGGAACTGGTTCCCAAAAGGTAACTGGATTTCTCAGTAGCACATTATTGAACACAAGGGCTCAGCTGGAGGTCAGCAACAGGCTGCAGGGGTAGCAATCACTTTGCTTTCCCAATATTTTTACTGCAAATGTGACCTGCTCTAAAGGAAAGTTTCTGAAGCTGGTCTTTGTTTACAAAGGGGATTTTGAATACAGAAGGACTGTAAAACATCAGTTTGCAGTAAGGATGGGTTGTGGAGATGTGATGATTCAAAGCAGTTATGTCAGGAAAAGTCTTTAAAGATTTGTTCTTAATGTGCCTGCAGTATTTGGTGTTGGGACAACTTGTATGCTTTTCATGGTTTCCTTAGGAAGCTTTGAATTTTTCGTAGTGTACTGGCATTCTCAATTTCTAAAATGCATCAATGAAGAACATCAAGTGTGAAAGATGAAGTCATTCTGTAACTCTGACTGATAAGATTATTAACATTATTTAGTGGCAACTATATTTATTCAGTGTGTAAGGCAGCCAGAGCTCCAGGCCAGGAACACTGGGGGATGCTTGTATCTTAAATGAATACAGAGCACTACATTCTCTCTCTGCATAAGCAAATTCAGCTTTATTCTGTGTTCAAATTATGGCAGACAGTAATTGTGTATTTTTTTTTTTCACCTTAAACTTTTCTCACACCTTTAAAAGTAAAACTAAAATAAAACATTGGTAATTTTTTTAGCACTAGCAAAGCCAGGTTGTTACAAGTCCTTGTGAAGGTCCATCTGTGCCTTTTGTGAATCTAGTACGGATGGACATTTGCATTTACTACATATATTTACCTTTAAATGCCAAATGCTCTAAAGCACCAGGGGAGTCAGATTAGCCTTCAAAGTAACTGTGTTCCAGTTTCACCCACTGCTGTTATGAGCACACAGGGAACACAACCCACCCTCTCTCTGGCTCTCTACAGTGTTTGTTTGGCTGCATAGGCAGGGGTTTGGATGAATGGGCACTTCCAACCAAATCCAGTGGTGGCAAGGCCAGAACAACACCAAACTCACACCATCACTTGGTAAATCTGTCCAGTCAGAGCTTTCTAAGAATTGCATTTGGTTTCCTGACATAGAGGATTTCCTTTTTGTCACCTGTTTATGCTCTCTGCACGTCCATGGGGAGGGGGAAGCTCCAACAGGCACAAGGCAGGTGCCTTGCCCGAAGTTTTTCAGGAGACCACAGTGCTGCAGAGAGCTGGGGGGGCTCCCAGTCTGGCAGCCCTGGGTGCTGCCCCTCCCTGTGGGAATGCCCCCACTGGAGGGACACAGAGCTGGTGAGAAATGCAGAATCATCACCTGAGAGGGAGTGGCTGAAAAACATCCACCCCCAAATAACAAGGGGTTTATATTTGCTTGGTGTTGAATTCTAAGGTCTTTTTTTAATGAATTATACCCTTGAGCAAGTATGGGTTTCTAAGACTATTATTATTATTAGCTTAAAATGTGAAACCATTTTCCCTGGATTTGATTTGTTGAAATGTTTTTCTTTGAAGTAGAGGCAGCATCAAGAAAGGAGATCCCTAGCTAGGTTTTAATTAGTGCAATAAATGCTAAAACAGCAGTTTTTAGCAGTTAGAGTGTTTACATTATTCCACATCCTATAGAATAACTGTGTCCAGGAATACAAAACCTTTTAGGTTAGACACAACAGCCTCTTCAGGACACCTCAAGATACAACAGCAACAAAGCTAGGTGAGAGCATATATTTGAAAGAATAAAAGGCCACAAGTACTTGCATAACTAAAGAAAAACTGCTGCATGTTGCCTGTAGCCATTGCATGTTTCTGCAAGCAGCAGAAAGCAAGGAGAGCACAGGAGTCTGAGAAATAAAAAGAGAGATCCTCTTTCCTTTCAACAAAATGACTACCTCTCAACAACACACAAACATCAGACATCTTTAAATTATGGGTCTAAGCTTTCCCCCTCCTGATTCTTCTGTAATTATTTTTCCAATCAGTTGACTTTAATTAACATGTCCTCTGTGAGCAAAGCTGGTGAATGGCAGTGGCTGGTTTATGGATGCTGAGCATGTGCTTCCCAAGCCCTCCCAGGCTGGTCCTTGAGTTACAGGAGCAGAGGAACTCTGAAAGCAGTTAGCACTGACTGATAAATGTGAACAAAGTATCCTCATTAAGGAAACATTTGAAAATACCCTTTACACTCCAATCACATCATTTTAAAGATGGATGAGGGAAAAAGCCCACAAAAAACCCAAGTGCAGCTTGACCTAACAGTTTCATCAGGCAGTACTTCCTCAGGCATGTGATGGATGTTTTATGGGGGAGCTCTGGATTGACCCACCCAGTGTCCCAGCAGCTGGGGGCAGAATTTGGATGAATCCATACTCTTCAACTTGCACTTTGCAGTCACATTTTTAACTGTGCTCCTCACAATGGACAAAAACATATTTTTATAATTCTTAGCATTACCCAGGGTGCAAGCAGATAGGGCTGTAAGCAGCTTCCAATCTGAACTCCATTTTGAGCTGCCCTGAACCTATTAAACAGATGGAAAATTATTCATTAGAACGTGCAGTAATGAATTGAAACATCTAACTTCTAATTTATTCTTCCTTATTACATTCCTATGATGGATAAAACTCCTAGGTACCAATATCTGTTTTCCTAAGCTTTCCTATTACCATGGTATGTGACTGCCCTGCACTTGAAAGCAGCACAAGTATGAATGTGCACAGACAGTAATTAGCACTCAGCACTTTCAAATTCAAAGACATTTATCAATCACCACAGTACTCCTATGAATTGTGAGCCAAGGAAGTATTAGCAGCAGGCAGGAGAATGGGTGTTGGATCATTAACGCAAGACTGGTAAGGAAAAAGATGTACAGTTTTAGGTAAAAGAGAATCCAAATGTGTTTGTGGAAAATACTTAAATATTATAGCAAAATTTCCTGGCAGCAAATCTTTTCTTTGCAAACACAGAAGCAGATCTAATTTCTCCCTGCTCCCAAGCAGTATGGGAAGACTCTGCAAAGATTTATTTAAATCTTCTGACAAAAGTGGCTCTGAAAGTAGAGCTATGTAGGTTCTGCTTTTGGCAATCTCTGCCTGGAGGCCTAATGACCAAACACTTTCACTGTGAGCAGTTTGCTGTTACAATACTGCATCAGTCCAAGAAAGAAAACACCTCTGTTGTTTGATCCCTGGTCCGGGGTGGGTCAGGCAGGCTGCACTCGGGTGGTGTCTGATAGCTCATGGCTATTTGCTCATGCATGAGTGCTGCAGAGATGATATCCTCTCCCTTGTCTGCTGTAACAGGTCAGTGTGAAGAACAGCATTGATGAGATACAATCTAAGGGCATGGTGTAATCCTTAGGCAGAAACTCAGGAGCAGCCTTTGGTACATCTAGAACTGAATCTTTCCCTAACCACACCGATGCATCAAAGGAAAGTAAAATAAAACCTTGCAGAGCAAAGTGCCAGGATAAGCTGTCCCTTTTCCCCCAGGACAAGGCTTGTTATCTTCAGCTGAGGTCAGTATGAGTGTAGAAAATCTAAGACTGTCTTAGAAAAACATGGTATCAGGGTATTCAGCTTTCACAGCTGCCCACAATTGCTCACATTTGCAGAGAGCAGGAGGGACAGAGGGTCCAAGGCTGCTACAGCCCCTCATTTCCCTCTCTGGCTGCTCACCTGCAGCCACCCTGCAGGTCCCAAGCTGCCCGGCCCTCTTTGTAATTGGTATTGCTGTGCTGTCACTCCACTGCAGAGCTGCTGGTGACCAGCCCAGCTAAATCAGCCTGAGGATGAAAGGCACTGTGCCAAGATGAGAGGAAAAGGGTTTTTTCCTCTGTGGAGCTAGGATCAAGGTGTGCCAGAGACTGTAAAGGTGCAGGGCACCTTTATACTTTCTCTTCCTGAGGCTTCACTGCAAGGTGCCAAGGCAGCTGCCAGTGAATCAAGGAGCACAGACTAATGCCAGCATTAGCACTGCATATTGTT